AAACACTTCAACACTCCCTTCAGATCGTGTTTCACAAAAAAGTATATTTCATCTTCCTCTCCCTTAAACAGAGTACTAATCTCGATATGCTGCTTTTCATAAGAAAAAATGAAAATTTATTCTATTTATGTTATTCTTTACATGGGATATTCTTGTTTGTCATTATCAAATTCAAATAAAAAAAAACATCACTATATATCTAAAACTTTAGTTTCTAAACTCTCGCTTCTCCCATGAACTAGTAACAAACATTCATTCTCTGATACAGAGAAAATAAACAAAATAGCAAAATGAAAACTTTTTGTCTTTTGTACAAATCAATAAACCTTTACTTTAGCTACATTTTTCTATTGATAATTCAGTGAAATTCCGTACTTCGGGTAGCGTTAACATCTTTTTTTCTGATCACGAGTAATTTTCCATGTATTTTCCATTGTATGATGGAGTTAGGGCATAGAAATAGCTGGTATGATGGAATTAAGTCAAGCGCCTTAATTCCATCACACCTATAATTCGATTGAAACAAAAAAAAAAGTTATGAAGATGTAGACTGATCAAAATGAAAAACATATTAATCGATAGAACTCGATGCAGCGAATGTAATGATATAAGTTTTAATTTAAAAAGTTACAGTTTTACGACCGAAAATATGTTTTTACCAGTAGTTTTATGCATTTTTGCTGCAATGATGCAATTAGGCAGAGGACGAATGAGACAAATTTTGGATTAGGTCTTCTTATCACAGTTACTGCTCATTCAAATCTCATTATTTTTCGATAAAAAGTATGCGGATAAATAGAGAAATGTTTACTCTATTACGCAGTCAAAAAATCAGCTCAAATAGACGTAGGGAAGCCGAGACATTGAATTTCTACGAAAAGAGTTGAAAACGGTGATGTAATTAGGGTCAGTCACTCTAGACAGATTGTATTTTTCACTTTTCTATTGTTTGTGATGATGATGAGAGTTTCTTATCGGAAACTTGTATAAATTAGATATTTGTTAAAAAATCTATTATATTCTTCGTAGCAGTTTTATATTCAATTATTTCTATATTAATTCTTACTCCTTTATCGTTAAAGTATAGAAGTAATTTTTTACATGAAAAAAAAGTAACTTCCTACGTTTAAAAGTAATTTCTAGATGCTGAATTTTCTTACTTTAATTATTATTATTAGACCACTTTAGTATTGAAAAGCAGATGTTGTGCCTATTTGTCTTCACATGAATTGTATGTTCATAAAGAGAAGAAAGAGAATATGATGTATGTAATTGCAGTAGGTCTCTAATAAAAAAAGTAATTGAAACTAAAATATTACATAGAAGGTACTTAGTTACACTATGTAGTTACTTGAAAAATATCTGTTCAAGCAAAATGAAATAAATTTTTTGTTGAATAAAATAGAAAAAGAAAGAACCTATAGTTTTTACGATAGTGCCTGTTCATGCAGGAGAATGATGTATATGGTAATTTTTTGCAGCATTCAAGATTTTTTTTAAAGAGGAAAATTTTTTTCAACCAATAGAAATATGAGTTTCACAAGCGCACCATGTTGCAAAATTTATTTAAAAAAACTTGTATCATTGTGTTTCTCATTTGGAAAAAAAACACAAAAAAAGAACTCATTTTATTTAAAACTACCTACTGTTCTCATTCGTTGCGATAAAAAGATCCTGTAAATTAATATTGTTTAACAACTATATTTTTTCAGTGTTTTAAGAGTGCAGTATTATTCATCCACTGCTATCTTTAAGAAAGAGTAAGTATAGCTTATGTCCTTCCTATTCACGTAGAACTTCTATCTATTTAACCACTTCATTTGACTGCGTTGCCTTCCGAATTGATAGTCACTGGAAAGATAGAACTGGATTTCCTAGTGGAATCAATCCTATTTAAAATAGAAAAGAAATTAGATGTATTACACATCATTTGATGAAGCTTTCGCTTCACTAACTTCTACTATAAGTTTTTGAACTCAAATCAAATAAAGAGAGGTAAACCAGGCTGCTGTAGATAATCGGACCTCATACCATAATACCAGTCATCTTAGAGAATATTTTTTTTGAAATGTTTTTTCAAAAATATCTGGCAAATAAACCAGATCCAACAAATGCAAATTGGTAAAGAATAGGCATGCACCAGTGCCAGTCAACTGGGTTCCAGTGCTACTGGGGTATCCAGTTCTGCCCCATATACCCATACATTTAATATTTGTTTATTAAATCGTTTCTTCTTTAGCGAGTCCATAGAAAATAGTTTTCTATAATATCAGCGCATCACCTAGTTTATCCACAGTTACCATATACACGAACCATTAGGTACCTAAGAGCTATTAGATAGAAGTACCATAAGGTCGTCACGACAACCATAGAATTATAGAGAATTGATCTGCAATCGGTAACAATTGAAACCAATTGGCATGGAAATCACACAGTCCGCGCCAATTCCAGATGAATTTAAGGCGATCCCACAGGATCTAAGCCAGTTCTCGCGCAACCTCAGATCAAGTCCAAGATGTTCATATGACTTTTAAGCAACTAGAGCCAATTTGAGCCAGTTCTGGACTACTTCTGGAACAGTTCTGGACAACTTCTGGACCAGTTATGGGCCAGTCCTAAGGGCTTAATATGATTTTTAGGCATTTTTCATCAATCTCACAAATTTTAACACCAGTTCCGGACCAGTTGGGGGCGAATCCTAAGGGCTTAATATGATTTTTAGGCATTTTCGATCAATCTGACTTAGGTTAACACCTAGCACTAGTGCTTGCCGAGTTGGAGTCCAACCCGAAAGTATTTGCAGGAATTTATGGAAATTTGGCCGAATGTCACCTAGTTTAAGACGAGTTGTGGTTGCGTTCCTGACCATGCTTTGTATAGGGCGCTTTAAGGAGTTATGAGTATCTATGTATAATAGCTTGTGAGGAATGAAGTAGATATCTTTTTAGTAGACCTTGAGTGCGTAAGGCTACTGGTATGTAATCACTCTTCAAGATGCATTGGTAAACGCCAGGTAAAACGTTAGCTTGTGGAATGTCTTTATGCATGCGATGATTTTATGAATATATGTAACAGATATTTATGCACCTAGCGTGGATCCAGCCTATCCACTAGGTCCTTTGACTGTAGATTCGAACGACTACCCTACGGACAAGTACTC